TCTATCTATCTATCTATCTATCTATCTATCTATCTATCTATCTATCTGTTTATCATCTATCGATCTATCAATCTTTCTATTTATCATCTATTTATCTATCATCTATCGATCTATTGATCTTTCTATCTATTTATCATCTATCTATCTATCCATCTATCTATCAATTATCTATCATCTATCCATCTGTATATCTACCTATCTATTATCTATTATCCATCCATCCATCCATCTTCTTACAAGAATTTTATATACAAGAATTATTTATATAATCTCATCTGCCATCATCAGGCTTCTGTATTGTGTTCGTCCTGTGAGTCAGACTTTCACAGCCGAAACGGCTGTGAAATGCAGAAGCCTGATGATGGCAGATGAGATTCTGCCGAAACGTCGCTACAACTTTAAAAGCACAACTATAATGACGTGGGAAAATACCGGAACAAAGCTGAATGCCATACCTGAGCTACCAATAGTCTCCTTTATGGGAAGGAGGTTGCACTAGATACATTAACTGTGCATGGCGGGTCAGGGGGATAACCAGCTTGGCAATCATCTTCACAATGAGTAGATGGATTCGGATTAGGTCTGATTAAACCTTACTTGGACTGGCTTGTAGCGGACGGGATGAGGGGGCGGGAGAGGCGGGAGGCACAGAAATTGCTGATGGGTGACCTTCTGTTTTCATGCCCCCAATGACAGGGCCGGCTGCCGGTGAAGTGGATGGCTCCCGAGGCGCTGTTCGATCGGGTCTACACTCATCAGAGTGACGTGTAAGCGATGCGCACCGGTTTCCAAATCGGACAGGAACTAAGCACCCATTCAGGGCAGGGGTGGTGATGCGTCACAGGGAAGATCTCCGGGAGCCCCTGACGCAATGGGCTGGTCCCCTGCCTTGGGCTCAGTGGAGGCGTCTATTTCACGGCTTATCTGATTCGGGCTTCCATTCTGCCAGGCCGACAGGTTGGCCAGCGCTTGGCTTTTTAAAAGAAAAACCAAATAGAATCCAGGAAGTTCAGTCAAATACATCTTAATTCCCCCCTTTTTTCCCCCGAAAAGAAATCTCACTGGCCTTTTCAACGTTGGTGTTTTCAGGTGGTCGTTTGGGGTGCTGCTATGGGAGATCTTCACTTTGGGGGGGTCTCCCTACCCAGGAATCCCAGTGGAGGAACTCTTCAAACTGTTAAAGGAAGGCCACCGAATGGACAAGCCAGCAAATTGTACCCCAGATTTGTAAGTTTTCTAGCTGAGAACATCATACTTTGGAGAAGCATGTCTCTCCATCTGCCGGGATGGATTCTTGTTAATACCGTTGCTTCACCTCCATATTTTCTGTTCATAACGTACTTACTTACTTCCTCCCTCCTCCTTCCCTCCCTCCCTTTCTTCCT